AACAGGGTAGAATTCTGTTTTCTTTTCATTAATCAGAAAATGGAGATTTAGAAAGTTTAGAAACTTGACCCGACTGAAAAGAAGAAATGGTGGACCTTGAAAATGACTTCAGGTTTCCTCACTGTGCAGAATATAGTCAAACACTGATGCAGTTAAGTATTTTACCCTTTGTTCTCACTGCGTGATCTACAATAATAATTGGCTTCGTGTTGATATTTACTGCTGTGTTGCTGACAATTACCTGAAAGAGAACTTTGGGTGCTACACTGGGCTGGAAAAAGTTTAGCTAAATCAGAAAGCAGGTCTAATTAAGCAAGTTTATTCTATATATATAAAAGGCTAAGTTGACTCATGCATGCGCAATACACATAAAGCTCTCGCTGCTGCCAATCACATGTGTGTCTTTAGATCTGTCATTGTCGATCGTGAATTTGGTTGACACTTCTATTATAAAGAAAGGATGAAGAGAATATTAAAATATTTCTTCTAACTATTTTCCTTTCAGTGTGCATAAATTCATGCACTGGGCCACTAGTATTAAATAAAAATAAATAAATATTCACATAGGCACTTACACAAAGGATCATTAATTGAATGTTAAACCCAGTTAAAGCTTTATTACAACAAAAAATTATGTGATGGTACAAGTCAGGGGCCTGTATAAATGATTTTCCATTCCAGCTGTATTAGGGGATGCATAGGAATTTAATTTGGTATTGCTAAGAATACTACTATTTGGTTAATCTCCTAATAAGCTGATCAGAATCCTCAAATGGCTTTCTTTGATTTTGTACAATACCAACAGATATTGCTCAAATATAACTGGATGGTATGTGGAGTGGGTAGGAAATAGAGTGACATTCAGCAACTCCATAACCATTCTTCTCTCTAAACAGAAATTGACATTAAGCTTACTGTTAATAACAAGAATAGACAGAGCACAGTAAAGAATTATAAAAATGCCATGGTCATAATAATATAATATTTGATTACAGAAATTAACACAAATATATAATGTGGTAAGATAAACACAATTCTTCAGTGTGCACTGCAGAATGATGCAAAGAAATATTAGCATGAAAAAGTAAAAATAGCATTCTACGTGCACAACTGGGAGACAGTTAAGAATTCTATAATTCAAGACTTATTACAACTAATTTATTAATTTTAACGATTAGTTTAAAAAATCACCATCAGCCTACCCAGTACGGCTGTGTATAGAGCACTGGCCTGTAGACCAAAGGGTGCCAGATTCGATTCTGGTCAAGGGCATATAACTTGGTTGCAGCCTCCTCCCCAGCCTAGGTTCTGGTGAGGGCTCATGCAGGAGGCAACCAATTGATGTGTTTCTCTCACATCGATGTTTCTCTCTGTCTTTCCCTCTCTCTTCTGCTCTCCCTAAAAATCAATGGAAAAATATCCTCAGGTGAGGATTAACAAAAAAAAAATAAAACAAAAATAAAAATTACAACCATCAACAACACCAGCAACCATGAACAATTATTAAAGGCCTGGCTGGTGTAGCTCAGTGGTTGAGCATCGACCTATGAACCAGGAGATCACAGTTCGATACCCGGTCAGGGCACATGCCTGGATCACGTACTCAATCCCCAGTGCAGGGTGTGCAGGAAGCAGCCAATCAATGATTCTCTCTCATCATTGATATTTCTCTCTCTCTCTCTCCCTCTCTGAAATCAATCAAAATATATTTTAAAAAAACAAAAAATAACTTTTAAAGGAAGAAATAAAAAATCATCTGATAACTTATTTTATTCAGCAAAAAGGAGGCAACCAATCTGGAAACCTCATCTATTCAAGCAAACAGACTCTGCTGAATTTCCTGGCATGATGTTACAGGGTCCCAGTGACTTGTAATGAGAAGATCCCAGAATGCAGGATGGGGGACATGTTTTAGCAACATACTATAGTCATTGCTGTAGGACAAGCTGACCTAGGGCTGCTGAACTTTATATAGTGTTTTGAGAAACTACTGCCTCAGAGCCTTTATAACTAGTATTAATACAAGCCAAAAAAGTGGAATCTGTGCTCCCTTTGGCCGCACATATACTTTAAAAAAAAGTGGAATCTAGTTTCACAAAACAGAAGTCTATTAATTTCTTTAAGCAGCTACAACTAGGTAAGTCATTATACAAAAAAACACAACACACACAACAGTCTATCCAGTGATGAGACAGACTCAAGGATGACATTTGCAAGCACATTAACCAAAAAAATCTCAAGACTACCGAATACTCAGAAGAGAGTTTAATTAAAGGAACACATTCATTCATATGTGTTTCATATAAAATAGAGGGCTTGAAGATTCTTAAATAGAATATGAAAAGGCTACCTTTCAGATATTTCTGTGCCTTAGCACTTTCTTCTGTTTTTGAGACATTGGGAATGACTTACCAAGTGAAAATTTAACAGATAAAGATGAGGGGCAAGCACTTCAAGATGAGTATTAACCTCAAAGTCCTCATCTATAATGAGAGGAGTGGACTAGATTTTTCTAAAGTTCCTTCCATGCCCTTTCAATCTTTCTATAAAACTAAGAAAACAAGCAGCATAAGACAACATTGCAACTCCACATAAACCAAAATGACATTTTGTATTCTATTCAAGGGAATTCTTCTAATTTTAATCAAGTTAAGTCCACCTCTGGGCAACTGGCTTGGTTATATATCGTTGCAAGTCTTTTACTCCCTGCTAGGCATCTGTGTCCTATTTCCTATTTCCAAGAAAAGAAACGCAGGGACCTTCATGAGGCAAGCTCATTATCCATTTGACAGAGCACAGAGTTTTAGAACCTTCAAGAGACATGCTGAATACAAAGGGCTTACATAAAATAATAGAACATTTTAATAAAAATTAATATTTTTTCTTGAACATTAACTTACCAGACACTGAATAACTACACAAATTAATAAGCATAATGCAAATAAATCTATTTTTCTTGTTTTCTGAAGCGAAATATTTCCTGTTAGGCACACCAAACAAGTCAGTATAGGACTAATGACATGGCAATTGGCTGCTAAAATATTCACTGCAAGTATTAGTGGAGAGAAATGGTGCGTGATTATAGATATCAGTCACTAGCGAACACTGTAGTTCGTTATTAATAATTATGTATAACAGAATATTGTAAAAATTAAGTTACGACACTTTTGTTAAAACATTTCTTACATACCATTATATTGGCTGGACCACAAACATATTCGTTGTGGGCCGCATGCAAAACATGAGTTTGCCCTAGCTGGTTTGGTTCAGTGGGTAGAGCATCAGCCTGCGGACTGAAGGGTCCTGGGTTTGATTCCGGTCAAGGGCACATGCCCAGGTTGCGGGCTCAATCCCCAGTGTCGAGCTTGTAGGAGGCAGCCAATCAATGATTCTCTCTCATCACTGATGTTTCTATCTTTCTCTCCCTCTCTTTTCCTCTCTGAAATCAATAAAAATACATTTTTTTTAAAAAGAAGGAACTATGAGAAAGTTCCTCTGAGAAAGTATTCATATATCTAGAGGAAAATTTGAAGTTGAAGATGGGGTAGGAGAGTATGTTTTTGCTATTTACTAGCTACCAAGAAGTAAAATTATGTGCCACACAACATTTTATGTTAAAGTCATGTAAGTGTAATGGAGTATGACAGATAATCCACAAATGGTAATTTGTTGATGTTTGTTATAAATCCCCATTGATTAAGGTCCAAGAGGTTTGGAGGGAGGGAAAAAATAAAATCTAAAAAGTAAAAGTCTTACTAATCCCATCTTTCTTACCCAATTTACCATCATTAACAAACTTTAAGACAACTACATTGAACAAAGTCCAGAATCCCATCAAATGTCTTCAAAATCCTTTAAGTCAAATTTTAGACATTACTTAACACCCATAGCAATGGTCAGGCAGTACTCCAAAAACAAGCGCCAATATTTTTCTGCAGCAAAATGAATAAACTGGCACCTTAAGTGAAATAAAGACTATAGGCAGCCTCTTATTATTTTAGGCCAGATGAATGTATTTGGGGACAAAATTTATGAAGTCTTTAGGTTTCCGGAGCTCTTTGGATTTCAGAATTATGGATACAAAACTATGTACTTATAGTAATTTGCTTCCCAGTTGAAAAGTTGGGAAGATACCCTCTTGATTATGCTATCCTGTCAAGTAACAGGATAAAGACTTTTATGTATTTTTATACCACAAAACACTTTTAGAATATTTGAAATGTATAGCCACACAATGGAGTAACTGGTACTATTAAAAACAATACTTTAGAACATATGTAATGACATGAAAAGTAAGAAAAACCAGTTTAGTCCATCTGTGTGGCTCAGTGGTTGAGCGTGAACCAGAAGGTCACGGTTCGATTCCCAGTCAGGGCACATGCTCAGGTTTCAGGTTCAATTACCAGTAGGGGACGTAAAGGAGGGAGCCAATCAATGATTCTCTCTCATCATTGATGTTTCTATAGCTCTCCCCCTCTCCCTTCCTCTCTGAAATCAATAAAAAAATATATTGAAAAAGAAAAAGTTTAGGAAAGAATATTACTACAGGGTAATTTTTTTTTTAAAGGAGAGGGTGTATTTATAATAATAAAAGGGTAATATGCTATTAGACCAGACGTCATTCCAGACGAAGCCAGGGCTGGAGGGAAGGCAGCTGGGTCCTGGGTACTGGAGGGGAGCTGGTGCTGGCAGCCGGGGGAAGGAACACCTACTCTTGCATGAATTTTCGTGCATCAGGCTGTGTGTGTGTGTGTGTGTGTGTGTGTGTGTATACAGAATATAAATCAAAACACTTAATGATTACATATGGCTGATAAAATAATGCAGATCCTTTTTTATTTCTGCTTACATGTGTTTTCTTAATCTATCTAGTATTTTAAATGAAAAAAAATCACTTCAAAATTGATAAACTTAGTTGGAATTAGAAACATTACTTAAAATGTCTTACCTCCGATGATACAGATATATTACAGGAAAATAAAAGAAATGCTTCTGTTTTCTGCATTTCCCCTGGTTCCACCAACAGTTAATTGCCACAAACAACACCTGCAGAGTCAAAAAAGGTTTCAAATGACTATGAATAACAACTGAAAAACTATGAACACTTAAAAGATAAACTTGTAGATATGAACTATTCCTCTCTGAAACAGAAAATGTAAAAAAAATTGTTTCAAGATGTCAAAGAAGGTCATCACTGACTGCTACAATAAGAAAAAAGACTCTTATCTATAGTGTCTAGCTAGGACTAAATAATTTGGAGTCTGGCCCAAGAGGAAAATGATTTCCTTTGAATTCTAAAGTGAATGAGCATCAGAGCTTTTCCTAAGCATGATTAACATGAAAACTTGGTAAAAAGATATGTCTTTTGATAGTCAAACTGAGTATCTGAGAATGAAAAAATATACAAATCAAACATCACAAATTTCAAAAGACCATTTTAAATGATTACATTAAAAACTAATAAAAATAACAGATGATTAAGGCTATTTTCTAAAATATAGTACTGAATAGCAAAAATATGGATTAAGTACATACTTATAGATGGATGTACTTAAGAAGTGTCCCTATGTCTGAAATTTACTTTGAAATGTACCAAAAAAAGATGGATTAATAATTAAATTGGAGCAAAATTTTTCAAGTTTGGCAGAATTGAAATTTTGGAATTAAACTGTTGTGAGGCTTTTTTTCCTTACTGCTATGTGTGTTTTTGTTGTGGGGGCTGTCCTACAACAAAAGTAAACATAGGATGGTGTAGAGTGTTTAGCAGTATCCCTAGTCTTTTACCCACTCAATGCCACTAGCGCTCCCCTCTCAAGTACCAAAAAAACCTCTCTGTACATCGCCAAAGGTCCCCTGGGGGGGAGGGGGGGGACAAACTGCCACTAGTTGAGAACCACTGATTAGAGGGATAAGATGAGTAAATACATAATAAAATGTTAACAGTAGAATTTAAGTGGTAGGTATACAGAAAATTCCTTCACCTCTGCTATATGTTTAAAAACTTATTACAGTAAAAAAAATATGAAGACTATAAAAAGTCACTTTTAGATGCCTTATACTTACTAGATAGCAATGTTGCTCAAACTTAGTGGAAGCTCTTTATAGCTCCTTTTGGAGTCTATGTATGAGAAAGAAAAGCAAAAATATCTTTACTTAAGGTTGACATCTCAATTTTTTTACCCAAATATAAGGCAGAATCTACCATGGTCCCTCATTTTATTAAGCAATGTGGCTCAAAAGATTTTTGCCTGTTTCTGAAAATAAGCTTGCTCCTTTCCTCTACTGAGAACTTGGAAAGAAGCTAGGAAAATTTTGGGGGGGAAAAAGCAGTGCCGGTCAGTTGTTTATGGCACTATGACCTCAATCATTTGTCCTGTGATGTTTAACAAACTGTTGTGCCCTCTAAGTCTGAGATCTCGCCTCAGAAGAACAGGAACACCAGCATCAGCTTATAGAACTGTTGTGAGGAACAGCATAGGGCAGCGATAGCGAACCTTTTGAGCGCGGCGTGTCAGCATTTTGAAAAACCCTAACTTAACTCTGGTGCCGTGTCACATATAGAAATTTTTTGATATTTGCAACCATAGTAAAACAAAGACTTATATTTCTGATATTTATTTTATATATTTAAATGCCATTTAACAAAGAAAAATCAACCCAAAAAATGAGTTCGCGTGTCACCTTTGACACGCGTATCATAGGTTCACTATCACTGGCATACGGCCAGGCACTCCCAAATACTATTCCTATGTAACCACTCTAAAGGGCATATTGCTTAAGTTGACAATAAGATAATAAGTGATTGATATCCTGATATATAATATATTCTCTACTTATTCTCTAAATTCAGAAAATTTGGGGAATGATTGGCAAAAATGGTGATTTCCTTTATGCTAATATACTACTTGCCTCCAGTGCTCCATTACACTTCCTATTTCCTCCCTGGAAGTATCTGCTAGTGTGGTTACTATTTGCCATTTGAAAGGGGGAGAGGGTGTAAAGGAAAGACAGGAATAGATCAAATCCATTGACCCACAGTTGGAACACAAAATCATACCCCACCCCAAAGAATCAGTGTTAAGGGAATGAAGCGTTATATTTAAACAGTAATTGGTACTACATTAGGGGATATATAATGCTTTAAAATGCTTTACTAAGCTGAGTAGGAAGCCTAGTCACCATTTAAAACATTGTTTCTAAGAAAAACCAACTGAGAGATCCAAATGAACTTCTGAAACTCAGCTGCCTGCTTAAGTAACATCAAATCAGTAGGTCCCAGCAGCAGTCTCTTAGAAGTCTGTGGATGCTTTTTAGTGACTTGCAATAACTGGGGAAAGGAGGGAGGGGGCAGTGGGGACAGGGAGGCTACAAGGCATGTGGTAGGTGGTGGGCAGGGACTGTGGTAGATATCCTGCAATGCTCAAAATTGCTCTGCAAAGGAAGATTCATCCCAGAGCAGTTTTAAATGCCCTGCCCAACACTGATGTTGAGGAAAACCCATTTGTTATTATTAGAGCCCAAAACCTAATTCCATTTTATATGTGAAACCAAAACATGGTTTTTGTATACACTGAAGTTCTCAGGAGGGCAACTTATGTGTCAACTGAGGGCAAAAAGTACTTTGTTTGGTTTAAAACTTCACCAAGACCTATTCATTGTTTAGAAAAATCAAATCACCGAGTGCAATGCCCCCATGGTATCTAAGTCCAACACATACCTTTATCAATCTACATTTGTAACTGTTCCATCCACAGTAACTCTACATAAAGGTACAAGGACCTATTCTGCCCAAGCATTTACAAACTGAAATACATATGATTTAATTATACATTACTTTGCTCCCTTCTACCTTTAAGTTATAAATAGTGCATTAGATGAACTATTTTGAAATTCTATGTGTAGGAAGGTTGCCTTATCTATGAATTCATTTTCAAGGCATAAAAAGGAATAAATATAAAATACTTGTTTTATAAAAAGCAATCAGGATCCACCTGGTTGAAAACCACTGTCACAGATAACTCAAATATTTGCCTATATATCACTCTTACCTATCATAAAGGTCGCATTCTTTTATTAAATAGTTGTTAAATACAGTTCTGGTCCAAGTATGGGTATTTAAAAGGTCAGTCAGCTACACTGTAGTCATGATGCATAAATTTCTCCTAAATAAAATACCTAATTAGCAAATATCAAAGAGATAATCAACTAGGACTTTCAGTTCCCCACCTACTTCAGCATGAATAGCATGGCACCCGGGAATGAGCACTGGCTTAGTCACAGGATGCAGAATCTGTTCCCCATCCTGCTGCTAACTGATTAGGATCATCACAATCAGAAATCTTTTGTTTCTTTATAGAAGGCTTTAGAATTTTAAAAGTACTCCTGGTAGCCCTAACCAGTTTGGCTCACTGGATAGAGCGTCGGCCCTGAAGGGTCCCAGGTTCAATTCCGGTCAAAGGCATGTACCTCCGTTGCGGGCACATCCCCAAAAGGGGTTGTGCAGGAGGCAGCTGTTCGATGTTTCTCGCTCATTGATGTTTCTAACTCTCTGTCCCTCTCCTTTCATCTCTGTAAAAAATTAATAAAATATATTAAAAAAAAGTGCTCCTGGTATTCACCTTGGCAAAATCAGCCAGCTGGTAAGATGTCTCTATAGGGACAATCTGCTCTGCAGCAGAACTGACAGTCATTTGATTCTTAGGCCGAATGTCAGCATTACCTGGTCTGAAAGCTGACTCGCTGCTTGCTCAACTTCTGCCCTGGCAGCGATGGACTGTCCACACCATGGGGCGTAGAAGAACAGAAGCACCACCTCTGAGTGCTGGCGAACAACCTCTGCGTAGTCCAGCTGACCTTGGAAGAGGTCAAGAACCGGAGACCTCGAGGAGAAAAAGCTGACAGGCGGCTTTGCTGGTATTATCACATCTTTTGCTCGACTAAAAAAGAGTAAACACAAATAAAATCACTAAGTTTATTTTCTTCCAACAACAGCTTCATGAGGGAGAATGAAACTTAAATATTCTGCGATACGGCAATATGTGGCTGAGAAAATGAAAGACGTGAAATATATGCTGGAAATTATTCTATAATATTGTCTTCCCACATGTGGAGTGGGGGGGCAGTGGAGAGCAGAGACGAATGTCTTTGAGAATCCACAGTCTTGCCTCCACACCCAAGATTCACGTCATCTCTCTGCAGTCTTGTTCTCCACAGGAGCCACTGATCTCCAGGGCTTGAGAGCCACCACATAAGCTTGCTCAGAATTAAGGGGAGAGAGCACATGTGGCTACTGCTAATAAGATTTCTATAGGAGCCCTAACTGGTTTGGCTCAGTGGTTAGAGGTCAGCCTGTGGACTGAAGGGTCCTGGGTTTCGATTCCGGTCAAGGGCATGTACCTCAGTTGCGGGCTCGATCCCCAGTAGGGGGTGTGCAGGAGGCAGCCGATCAATGATTCTCTCTCATCATTGATGTTTCTATCTCTCTCTCTCTCTCCCTCTCCTTTCCTCTCTAAAATCAATAAAAATATTTTTTTTAAAAAAAGGTTTCTATAGGAAATGCTTACAATCAACTCAACTTTGAGAAAACTTAAAAGTGTATTAGCTGGAGTTGGCCTGCACTTATCCAGGGCATTCAGGCAAAAGTAATAACCCAAAAGAAGGCAGAAAAGGATCAAGAAAAAGACAAAAACCAGAAGGTACAAATGGAAAACAAATAGCCAAAAGGTAGACTTAAACCCAACCATATCAACAATTACATTAAATATAAAAGGACTGCCGAAACCGGTTTGGCTCAGTGGATAGAGCGTCAGCCTACGGACTAAAGGGTCCTAGGTTCGATTCCAGCCAAGGGCACATGCCTGGGTTGCGGGCTCGATCCCCAGTAGGGGGCGTGCAGGAGGCAGCTGATCGATGATTCTCTCTCATCACTGATGTTTCTATATCTCTCTATCCCTTCCCCTTCCTCTCTGAAATCAATAAAAATATGTTAAAAAAAAAAAAAAGAGGAAAAGATTGCCAGACTGGATAAAGAAGCTATCTAAGAGACACATTTTAAACATCAAGACATACATAAGATGAAAGTGTAAGGATGGGGGGAAAATAGTCCATCTAAATAGTAAGCATAAGAAAGCTGGAGTAGCCCTAACCGATTTGGCTCAGTGGAAAGAGCTTAGGCCTGCAGACTGAAGGGTCCCAGGTTCGATTCTGTTCAAGTACATGCCCTTCAAGTACGCTTAGGCCTGCAGCCAGTAGAAGGTGTGCAGGAGGCAGCTGATCAATGTTTCTCTCCCATCAATGTTTCTAACTCTCTATCCCGCTTCCTTCCTCTCTGTAAAAAAAACCAATAAAATACATTTAAAAAAAAAAGCTGGAGTAACTAATTATGTGAAAGGATAAACAAACGGGGGTATACTCTTACAATTAAATGATATGTACTATGTATAACTGGATGAGTCTCAAAATAATGATAATGAATGAAAGAAATCAGAAACCAAAGAATACATATAGGCTAAGCAAAAGTACCTTTACAGTTGTGACTACATCACTTTATTCTTATATTATTACTAGTGGCCTGGTGCAGGAATTCATGCACGTTGAAAGGAAATTAATTAGAAGAAATATTTTAATATTGCCATTTGTCCTTCTCTATAAGTGTCAACCAAATTCACAATCAACAATGACAGATCGACACACATGTGCAATTGGCGCCAGCAAGAGCTTTATATGTATTGCGCATGTGAGTCAACTTAGCTTTTTATAGATATAGAACAAGCTTGCTTAATTAGACCTGCTTTCTTTTTTTTTTTCTTTTTTTTTTTAAATATATTTTATTGAGTTTTCACAGAGAGAGGAAGGGAGAGAGATAGAGAGTTAGAAACATCGATGAGAGAGAAACATCGA